ATTCGAAATTAAGACAGTTGGAATTTAGTAAAATGGAAAATTGAATGAATAGCATTGAAGAATGAAATACAGACCTTCTCTACTGCTTTTCAATTTAGCAGAAAAAATTTGAACAAGTTTGTATTATAGTTACAGAAAGAAATTTCATACACACACTTTATTCTATGTATGGTTAAACATGTACTTAAAAGTAAAAGGATTATTTAAATGACAAAAAACACAGAGCCTTGTTTTTAGTTTTCAAACCTTCCTCACTAGTAGAAAGAGAAAAAAGAACAAAAGTAAATGACAGACAAAGAAGTGTAACTGGTTGATTAATGTGCATGTGTAACATGCTTATTACACTTTTGAAGGTATAATGAGGAAGTGGAATGAACAAAATTTGCTTCAGGAGAATTACATGTGATTCTTATAATACTATTAAGAAAAACTTTTATTTTCCTGAATGTAATTAAATTTTTCTATTCTGTAGAAGGAGATTTTCCAAACATAATCTGATCAATGAACATTTTACTTACCAAACAAACACACTTTTCCTTCTGATGTACCAGCAAGGAGTAGTTGGCCATTATGGTTAAAACTACAACAGTTTATTACTGACTGAGTGCTTGCAACTTGAAGGTGACGCTGTAAGCAAGACATATACATATACTTAAAATAACACAAATTGTCAATCTACTCTTGCAGTGTTTTAAATGGGGGTGCAACAGGTTTCCAACATTAATGAGTCATCCAACAGTAGGTTATAGTTACACACACATATACAGAAATCAAGAGTTTTAACAATGACTTTCAATGAAATATATGCAAAGAACTAATGTGACAACAAGCTTCAATAAAACATATGTACAACTAATAACACCATGATTTGTAACCACTAAAACCAACATATCATGAACACACATAAACAAACTAAATATTAAAAAGATAAAAGCTAAAAAATACAATGGCAGACATTAATACCAACAATAGCTCGTGAACCATATGAAACGTTTATGTAATATTCTGAGGGAAGTTATTTCAAATACCAACTCATACTGATAAAATATAAAAATATATCAATGAGAATGTATTCACAGTACTTCAAGTAAGCACTTTATCACTCATACTCTAATCTATCAACAGGGACATGATTTGGTAAGGAGTAATTGCTACCCCTGGACTTTGCACTTTCTATATTCTGACACAGATTTGTGAAAATTTTGTGAAATGATGGCATTTTCTATCAGGAAATTCAACTTTTATTTAAAATGAAGAAATGTTGAGGAAAAAACACATGCTTAACACACGTCACCTGATTTATAAAGCAAAATGCTTATGGATTAGCGTATACAGGATGGCCTAAAATTATCTTTCCTATTTTAAAATTTAATAATTAAATAACTAAAGATATACAATCATGCAGCTTTCAACATCATGTAGCAGAACTCAAACAGTCATGTTCTTTTTCACTCTAGTGAGTTGGGTTACTCAATAAAATGGCAACCATGCAAGAAAAGGCTCAATGCGTCGTTTGGCTGTGGTGCAGCATAACTACATACACCAGGACAGTAAAGAATCACCATTGAAACCAACTATCCATGGGAGGACAAAAAAGCTCTTGGAGACAGGTCGTGTGTTACAGTGACCAAGAGCTGGAAGGTCCTCTATCAGTGATGAACGTATCAGACAAGTATGCGAATCGTGTCAGCATAGCCCATGAAAATTGCTTCGACATGTTTCACAAGAACTTAGCATCCAAAAACATCCCTGCTCTGTGTCAAAGATGTACAGGCACTGCAACCAAGTGACAGTCCTAAGTGCAATGCATTTGTTTTTAAGCAAAGGAGACTGACTGTAATGCATTGTTGGCAAAAATATTTGGGTTTTGATGCAGTAGGTGCAGCCACACAATAGAGCACTTAGGTTTGCCAAGTAGCCACAGGAATGTTTTCCACTGGATATCACCATTCCTTGTCATTTAACTAAATGCAAAAAAAAACCACTACAATAGTGTAATTTCTATAAGAAGTGTCAAAGGGGAGATATTCAATATGGTACAATAAAATCCTGTATGTATATAATACCAATACAAAAAAATAATTATATAAACCAAACAACATATACATATATACTCCAACATGTTACTCTCTTCATGCTTCTACCTTCAAAATATTTTTTTCAGTCAGTCACCGGAGGAAGTACCTTTTTTTTTTTATGAAATTCCTTCACAAAAAAAAACATTTTTGTTTATAAGTTTTTTTTCTCAGATTGACTGTTCAGCACATACAAAGGCTGACAGGTTGATGTTGATATGAAATTTTAGGAATTTGAAAAAAATGAATAATTTTCTTTAAAAGTACTCTTGAAAAGAAGAATTTTGATATGTAGTTTTTCAACAATTAACTGTTCAGGAAATGCAGAGTGTGACAGACAGACATTTAGCTATTACATATATAAATTAGCATTGCTGCTAACATATAGATGAATAAAAGTTTGTTTTCTGATATTTGTGCAAAGGACTATCTTCACAAGCCAATCATAATTTTAAGCTGATAGACTGAAGGAAAAGGAGCTAGTTAACAGCACCCACAACAATTCTTGGGCTACTCTTGTCTGATTGAATGGTAGTATCTTAACATCACTCTTATAATGCACCAACAGCCCCAAAGTGAAGAGCACATTTTTTGTTGTTTTTTTTTAAATAAAGTTATGTGAACAACAGGCCCACAGATCTACAGTACAACATGCTAACCACTGAGCCATGAATGCAAGTACATTCAAGTTTTATATATATTGGTAAGCTGAATATCTTAGAAGCAAGCTAACATCTGGTGTTTTTAAGTATTTTATAAGAAATAACCCTCTCCATTTTATTTTCTAGTTAGTTTCTTATATAGTATTGGTTATCGTGTTTATAATAATTCTTAATATGTATGTATAAACGTATTTAATAAAAAAGTTTACACTTATGGAGGTTATTTTACATTGTTGAGTTTATGAGGGTTTAGGACTATTTAAAGCTCCTCAGCTTGTTTAATCTCATAAAACATTATTCGGAATATAGCTGAAAATATTGTTAACAGCAAGAGAAACCAACTGATGATTCAAAGAACCCTAATAAATGCAGGTTTTAGTTTTCTTGTGTACTGATTTATGATGTTAAGTCCTTCTAATCAATTTGTTAAACAGAACTGGTTTCATTAACATAGTTACTTTTGATCTGTAGTTAATAAAGAAACAAATATTCAGCCATTGTTTACTAACCTCTAACTGCATTGTTCTCATGTCCCACAACAACAGCTTTCCTTGTAAGGGACTTGACAATACTTCAGACCTGGAGGTATAACGAGGAGGAGGAGGACAAGTGGAACAAACAAAACTTGCTTCAGTAGGACTACATGTGATGCTCATAATCCTATAAAGAAATAAATTTGTAAAAGATACTGAAGTTTCATCAATGACAACAAACTACTTATTACTTCACAGATCAAAATACACAACTTTTCAATAACATTACTACATTAATTGAGCTAGTACCTGTGGTATTCCTCAAAATACAAACACTGCCATCCTAATAACTCAGGGATGATGAATCCAGCAATATGAAGTTCAAATTTAAATCTAAAGATAAACTTTAACCCTTATGTACCAGGTGAAACAAACCTTAATATGGTTGAGTAAAACATGATCTAACTATGCCTAACATTTCTCAACCGCGTCTTGCTCTAGAAAACACATTTCTTTTCGTATCATACTATAATATCCTAATTCAAATGAAGTATATATTAAAGGAAAAAGCAAGCTTTTCACAAACTTTAAAAAACAAAATCAGGACTGTAATTTTAGCAGATGTTGTTTACAAATCTTTTCTTCTAGCAATAAAACGTTAAAAAGTTCACCACTTTGTTTCCACCTCTACACAAGTCTACATATTGTGTGAGATGTTATGTCTAGTGGTTTTACCTTTATTTAACCCATTGTGTAATTTTAATCATTCACAAGTACACAGTTTCTGTAGAAACCCATAGCATAAATGATAAACAATTACTAGATATTTGTTACACCAAGGGTACCAACACCAAAACACCTGAAAATGATTTACTAATAACATCCATAATTTAAAAACAAAAGAATTATAAAACTTTTACATCTTACTGAAAGAATAATACAAGGTGGAAACTTTCCATCTAACAAGCTCCTAGCCAACTGAACGTATTGCATTTATATTACAGATACTACAAACAATATCTTTAACTCTTTCACTGCTACATTTATAGATAACAACTCTCCTGGTACCAGGTTTATCACAGTAGAAAACAAAAAGACACGTGTTTTAATATTACTTCACTTATCTGCAACTTGAAACTGAACTAATAAATTTTAGGAGGTATGAGAGAATACCCTTTCATCATGGTGGTACAAAATTACAAACTTACATGTACTTTATATCACACTTTTACAATGGATATATAGTGTATCCCATTTATGTGTCCATGGCAGTGTTCTAAAGTGGGACATGTACATACAGTGAAAAAGTGTTAAACAACTGCAGGAGATTAACAGCTAATTTTTAATACAAGTTGGCTACTAAATAACGATAATATCTACTACCAAACTGAGAGAATTTCAAAACATAAAAATGTACTATTAAATACAATACTCAGTAGAAAATGTATAATAGTCAGTCAACCACTTAATCTACTCTCTAATCATTTTAGAAAGAGATAAAGATAATTATCTGACAGTAAATCACAAGGTCCTAAACTCAAGCAATAAAAGCTCCTATCATATACATATAGGTCTATATCTAAAATACTTAGTGACCTAATCCACTGATATTTCCTTTACACTTATTGACTACACTTTCACATAAATACAATAGTACTCAAATGAAAATAAGAATAATTTTCCATACACTTAAACTTGAATAATGTTAGTATTATTGTTTCCCTACCAAAACATCTGATAAATATAACACTCTAATATTTTACTTTATTTCCTAATATATATTGCTTCTATTTAAAATTGAAACTAAATACATTTCTCCACTCAACTGTAATGCATTTCATGGCACACTATGTGGGGGTCAAAGTGCAGAGCATCATTCAACATGGTATTTGGTGTTAGAATCATCAACTCTTCATTTTTACCCTATATTATTGGTTTAGCAACAGTTCATGGAAGAGAAGCATAAATACAAGATAGACCATAAAGGGATACTAATATAAAAAAAAACTAGAGATACTCATTTCCAAGGTTATAGAGGTTATGCAAATACAAACTGTATGATAGACAAAAGTATTTTTATTCTTCATATGAACATCACCTTGCACTATACCTTGCCAATCTTGATTTTGGCAATTCACAGATATATCAAGTTCAAATACTTTTGTAACACACCTGCTGTGTAAGTACAACAGACTTATACATTTTACAAAAAACTTGCCACATTTTGTATATATACATTTAGTTAATTTGGAATTACAGTCAACATTCCTTCTTCACTACAGGGTAGAGCCAATGGGCCAATCCCGTGTACATTCATTTAATAAGTATCAATCTTGATAGGTGACAAACTGTGCAGCACTAAAAATTACTAAATTTAAAAAATATATATATTGAAAACTAATCTCTCTCTTTAATTTATACCACTGCAGAATAGTTTTTATTGGCATTAAAATAACAAAAAATATGATGCAAAACAGGAACTTTTTTAATATTGTAAAAATAAAAACACTTAAGTCCACAACACTAAATTTCTTATAATAAACAATATGAAAAATATAAAATTATTTTATTTCTAACTAGTTACATAAATAATTGTTTCATTTCTAAACCACAGTCTTTATATGAACAGCATAAAAGAACCTCAAACTTATTATCTAAAATTTGTATAGTATATTAATGAATTAAAATTTTAAATCAAAATCTCTGTGATTACCTCTGCTCTTTTAAGCAGCCAGCACTATCTGCACTAATATCACAAACTGTTCTTCTTTCCTTGGTATCGTAAATCTTCAAAGATCCCGATTTATTTCCATGCAGTAACTATTAAACAATTTAATCTCATAATCATGACTTACAACATGCAAAGGACAAAAAAACAATGTTATATATATATATACAAAACTCAGATCAAATATAAGCAGAATTAAAAAGCAGAAAATTAGATATTTAAACAAGACTAACAAAAAGTTAACCAATGAAATGAGTGTCTGTTTAACAATAACAACAATTAATATGATACAGCATAAAAATTTTAGTAAAACACTATGTACATAATAAGCTAAGTATGTATTGATACTATATTAAAAAGTTACAATGATTATACCAAATTTTGATCCATTTTAAGCAACTTTCCATGAAGCATTTATGTCAACTACTTACTAGCCTCTCTCTTTTAGTTGCCCATTCTAATGCTAGCACACTTGATTTTGAAATAACAGTAGCAAATGTTTTAGGTGAAGGACTAGCTGTCCAGACCCTGAAATAAACAAGTATAAATCATCAACAGGTAATGAGCATACTCCTTACAAACACATTGAAAACAATGTACGGAGGAACAATGAGTCTTTTCTAAATTATTTTCAACTACTGTCAGTACAAAAAACCTAACCTATGGGCCTTAGTACATATAACTTCTTACCAGATAATTTAATTAGCCAAGGGGGTCAAACCTTAAATGATGGAATAAAGCTAAATCATATAAACCTAATACAACTAGTTGTATTGTTAGTAGTTTTTTTAGTTGGCTGTCTCCAGTTAACACTTTCAATACGGGCATCTTTTTCTGCACATGTCACGAAGTCTTAGTGAGTTACATTCAAAATTTAATTCAACTATTTTATTTTCATGGTATACGAATAAACTTGGCATCAAAAAGCAGCTAATAATCCAAGTTTTAACCCTATACAAGTTTTAAGTTTTATAGGGCAATATTAAAAACAAATCCTCAATTTTCCCTTGTATGAAAATTGTGACATTTGCTCTCAAGGTATCCCCCTCTTCTGTAATTTATTTACCACTCCTCCAAGAAGTACGAAATTTATGTAAATTACTCATTATAAATTGTCATTGTTCAGGAAAAGCACAATTTTTATAGTCTTTAACATTATTTAGTTACAGAGCCATAAGCTAGAAAATCAGACCCCTCTTGCCACCTGTTAAATCTTCTCTTTCAAAAATTGCCAATAGTTCTCTCTCTGACGTTTAATACTATATTATTTATAACAAACAGAAAGCCAAGATTTTAATGTATCAAATACCGTATTATATTACACTGTTTTTTTTTGTACAGAGAATTGTCTATTTTTATTCCAGTAAAATGTTATTCCCATAGAAAAACATTGATGAGCTTAGCTGAATTTTTCACAGCTTTTGTAACATAATTTGAAAGCCAGAAAAATTGTGATAGTTATGGGTCATTGTCTGCTTTTTTCATGTTACTATTCTGGGTTCTTTGGTGCATTTAGTTAATTAAATAAAAAATAATTTAGTGCAGTATACCATTTGCATAAAAAAGTAGAGTTAAGTTTTAACAATAGTTGACAGCAAAAAAAACAGGTAAGTATTTTATTTCTTGTTTTCATGGAAAGGTTAGATTGGGTAAAATAAAGAATGAAAATAATATAATAGTTTTGCAAGGTATGTTCACGAGCAACTCGCGAATAGCCTGTGTGTTATGTAATTTGATGGGGTACCATGAGTTCACCAAGTGATATACAACTTGTGTGGCAGAAATATTGGTTAGACATGGTTCAAAAGGCAATAAAACAATAAAGTTTAAGTATAAGCAGGTGTATAATGTTATGAATTTCAAGCTATTTAGGATAAACAGATGTAGTTTCATGTTACAATTTGAAGTCATTCTAGAAAGAAAGAAAGGATAATTTAGATTTATTTCAAATTTTGTTTGGTGGTTACAAAGTCAGTCAAACTGACCAACCTCATATAGAATTAGGGTAGAGAAAATAACGGGTAAAATAGAATGTTTTACTGAAAAAAAAGTTAAAAATTCATTTAGGAGGTTTTAGAGATTACACAATGAAATTTGATATTTTTCAATTGAAAAAAAGTATTTTTAATCTTAACATGAAAATCACTTTCCAATCGGAGCAGTCCACACTTTGACTCCATATATTCATGGAAAAATAATTATTCAGATTTTTTTTGTCTACAAATGATTCTTGATTATTACTGAAAGCTTGTGAAATTTCATGAATATACACAAAACATATTAGAAGTTATAGTATGAAAACTATATAGGTCAAGTTGGGGTCACAAACTCAGCAGATTCGGCCAAGCCCATAGTGAGAGGGTTAACTGAAGCTTCCAAAACATAAACCCTCAGTAAAGAAAGGATTACAATGGTCAAATATGCAACCAATTTTTTAAACTTTCAATACTGTCAAACTGCATTATCAATCCATTTGATTTGCTCATGATATTTCACTAATTTTTGATGAGAGAAAGAATTTTAAAAGGGGTGTTCTAGTTTTGTTTCAATTTACTTTAGACAGTACTTCTCTAAGCAGAATACTAAGATCTTGATTCTTAACAATATTGCTGAATCCCTTGAGTGTAGTACAGAATGCAGAGGCAAAAAAAAAGAACACATTACAAACACTATTTTTGTGGTCTTCACCATTTTTTTTTATGTAACAAATAAAACAGTGTATTAAACTCTCACTTTATAACTCCATCCATATCTGAACTTGCAACCATAGATCCAGAGCTGTTGAATTTACAATGAGTTACACATGAGTGATGTTCTGAAAACTCTTCCTATAAAGTAAGGAGCAACATAAAATAAGAAAATGACAAGTGTTTGGAACACTTTTAAAATGGTTAAGAACAAGCAAGAAAAATAATATTCATAATTTTTTATATATAACTAACTAGTGTGAATAATCTATCTAAAATAAAGCTCCAGTTTTCTTAACAGTATCAACAAAACTTTTGGCCAGATCATACAGTATAATCCAGAGTTAAAATGCTTCTAGAGTAAAAAAAAACAAACAATTTAGCATGTTTTTTAATTTATTGAAAACAGTGAGAAAGCAATCTTCCTAAAAATATACATAAAATTATTATAAAAACAGAGCTTCTCACCTGACTCAATAATATCAAAGTTTCTTTGTGTTCTGAACCTGCAAAGTTTAACGAAGTTCAATATTACAATACTTTAATACTATAATTATTTATAATCTTTATAATGAAAATTCAAACATATTAAACGTTTTATTTCTATAATCATTATATTTACTAATGCATATACTTGTTACAGTTTTAGCAAATCTCTCATTCAATGCTTCAGTTAAATGTTTACAAGGGTAATAATGGGTTATTGGTTTCATAAATCTTGTTTTCTATATTTAACATTCCTGATATTTCATTTAGATATTGATTTTATAATAAAGAATTGTTAAATATTACATAGTGTTCCAGCTGAAAGAAGAAGAAAATCAATTAATACTATGTCCTTTTTTTCATTATTCTTCTTACATTGACTTCAAGAATTTGTCACCTCCATAAAAAAAAAAGTTTTCAATGTTAAATTAACTTCCCATGGTTTTAAGCAGAGTTCTGAACCCTGCAAGTGGTGATATTTTTATGTTAAGGTTTTGCTGTTGTTTTTTTATGACATTACTCTCCTCAATCCCATTCATTCCATTTGTGGTTGCATTAACAGTGCTTCCCAAAAGGTTATGTCTGAGATTTAGGAAAGTAACTTGAAACATCTGAAATGTAGAAATCATGAAAGAAAGTAGTACAATATTTAGGGGGGTAGCAATTGTCCCCCACATTTTTCTTTAGTATATACACAACATTCATAATAATTGACCCCCCCCCCCCATGTTTGTCCCAAATCATAATGCATGTCATGGATTATGATCTTATTCAGAAATATATCTTACAACTGAGCCATATGGTGTGTGTAGACAAGCTTAGACCCATAAAATCTCTCAACCTTTGCATCATGGTATGAAACACAAAAGGGTGGGTTTCTAGGTTCTCTGTAATGCAATCTAAGCATATTTTGGGGTCTAATGAGGATTTCATTAAGAACTCTTTAATACTTATAAAAAAAACCTTTCACTTGTCTTCTATCATAGGTGGGACCATTCTCCATAAATAATATAATATATGACATCCATTTTTCGAGCAGAAGGGCAATTAGAATTTCTTTATGTTCCAAAAACTATACACAAGGCATGACCTTCACATGTATATATTTAAACTGTATATGGAAAAGACAAAAATGTACTTTAAATTTGTTACCCATTAACAAGTTGTGGTTTTTGATTCTCTCTCTTCCACCCCAACAGCAACCAATCAGGCTTAACATTAAATGCCTTCAATTCTATTTGTGTTTCAATATAATATCTATTTAATGGACCATATTAGTGTCTTTCCTTTCTATTATCTAAAATGGTGAGTGGCTCAAATTCATAATTACATATACACTGCAATACAACCATTTAGATCACCTGCCCTTTCCCATGTTACAATGGTGTTATTTTCGAAAAATCCACCTATGCAATAACAAGTGCAGGTGTTCCTGAGCACTTGTAACTCACCTCTTATGATTGACCAAAGCAGTTTCACTGGGTCACATGGAAATCAACTATCATCTTTTGTGGTAGCAAAGATTTAATGGACACAAATTATGCATACTTATGCATGATATGATTGAAAGGTCATTAATATTAATAATTCAATGAAATTGGAACTATGAGATCTTTTCTCTCTAAATCAAATTATTTTCTCCTCTTTTCATCAGGATTTCACTAAAAACATCCTAGGCAAAATTAAATCTACGGAAAAAAGTTCATTTATGGACACTATATATCTAGGAAATCTGTTTTAGTAGGTAAGCTTACAAATGTAAAAACACACACACACACACACACACACACACATACATATATATCAAAGTGAGCAATTGACATGCACGATATGTTCTAAATGGAAATCTGTCTTATTAAAATGTCTGAAATTATGACAGTAATACACATTTATTCCCTCACAATGTTCAATAACAATCTATCTGTTAAAAGATAATGTTAAGGAGTACTTTCTAGGGGAAAAATATATATATATATTTATTTATTTATTTATTTATATATATACTAAAGCTGTTGAACTTGACTATAGGAAAACAAACTTACAAGTTTAAAGTATACTTGATCCATAAACATTACTCTAATTAAACTAAGACCTATAGCTGTACCTATGTGGAAAGTAGCAATATTGGACCCCTTCGCTGAAGAGCCTTCTGTAATTTGACCACCACATGGAGTCTGTACCACTAATCTTTCTTCCTTAAAATCATTAGGAAAAAATGTTTTATTTACTGAAAAATTACTAACACAAAATTCTCATAACCTTCAGTTATACAGAGCCATATAATTAGCTATGATATGTCTATGCTGACATTTTTTTGTGTGTGAAAAAGAAAGAAAGAAAAAAAAGAAAATTCCCTGAAATTCACATTCAGGTCACTTTAATTTCCTGGAAGAACAAGGCAAATGCTTCCTTGGAACCATAATCCTCTTGTAACTACTTTTAACAAATGTATAATCATTAGTAATAAAAAACAGAAAAAAGTTTTATTTGGATTAATATTATTCCTGAATCTTCCATTACTCCAGCTTATAACCATGATAAACTACTCAATAATTCAAATTATTGAACAATGACTTGAGACAAACATTGTGAGAAGAATTACTTAGACCTCATAACTTTATTATTATTATACAAGAGTTAATGAACTCCTAGCAAATTATTCATCAAACGTCCTTCTCATTTGGACTAAAATTTGTGATAAAAATCACACTAGCTGCAGAGGTTATGAATTCAAAACTGACAAATTAAGAGAAATGTGAAAAAAAAAACTGCAATTAATGTGATTTTTATCACAACTTTTTAAGCCTATTGTTTTCTAATGCTCTGCCAGCTTTTGATATTTAAACCATAACATTAAGCCTGTCCTTATCATTCAATTTATGGAAGTCATAACTTCCATTAAAAACAGCAATTGGTATAAACTTTTAAACCTCTTTTTTTAACATGACTGTCCTCTCAACAACTGATGATGCTAGTATATTAAAAACCATTGAAAATCCAACATTAGGCATAAAACTGTTCTGTTTAATTTTAAAATTTTCCTTTCAAAAGTGAAAATGTTTCAAAACTGACTAGAGCTACACTCTGAAACCACATATTTATTGTATGTTTACTTCCCATACTTTCTCTTTGCTTTGGGATGGAATTCTCCGTCTCTGTTCATGGTCTGACTGTGGCCTCACCCTGGCCACAGCTGCTGGACCACCAGAAGCAGAAGAATGTGGAGGAGCACTCGGGGCTCGGGGTTTTGGTTTCACAGCAGAAACTGGCTTGCCTGAAATGTGATCAGAAAATATGATGCTTTTAGCCTGAACTACATATTCATTTTTACAAACCAAAATATGCAAGAAAAATTTATTTCAAAAAAATGATTTATAATGAAGTCATTCATCTAAAATGTTGAAAACAATAAAATTTACAAACCTGCAGCCACCAACTCTTCCCCTGATGATCGTTTTGGTCCCGTTTGTGACTGTTGTTGTCTACGTCCTAAAATAGGAGAGGTTGGAAGACCACTACTAATGTTTCTAATCAGAGATTTAATTGATTTGCTAGTACTTTCTGATACAGGAACTTCTCTGCAATAAATAAGAAAATATTAAGTGAATATTTAATATACTGAAAGTATTTTTCATCTTTTTATAAAATGTACTTCTACTCCATTTACACATACAAACAACCATAATAATCCATAATGATCAAAACATGGAACACACAAGGTTTAACTATACTTCCATTTAATCCTTTCGCAACAGCCTTGTTACCACCATATAGCCATGAAGGAATACATACTATAACTCTGACAAATTCCATGAAGATACATTAAGTACTCTCAAACTTTCAGTAAACATTACAATCTTTTGTAGACAAAAATGAGAATTCTTAATTAAGTATCTTTATTAAAAATTTGTCAGTAAATATATAGAGTTAGAGTACAAAGTGATTTTCATGTTAAGATTAAAAATACTTTTTTCATCTGAAAATTTTCAAATTTCAGTTGCTTTTAAATAAATGTCAAACATTTTTCTTAGAAAAACTTTATATTTACTCTGTTATTTTCTCTATCCTAAGTCTATATGGGGTCAGCCAAATTGACCAACCCTGTAACCATCATAAAAAAAATTAAGAAATACTTGTAATTCACCATTTTTTTTTTCTAGAATTACTGAAAATTGTAACATGAAATTACAATTGTTTATCCTAAATAGCTTAAAGCTCATAACAGTATACATTTGTTCATACATAATTTTATTGTATTATTGCACTTTGAACGTTGTCTAACTAATAATCTTGCCATATTAAGTTACCATAAGTAATGCACAAGTTGTTTGTAAGCATATCATAAAGAATTTTGATTAATTCTTTTTTTCCATACCTTACCTAATTTAACCTAATAAGTTTCTAATTTTTTACATTTTAATTACTTTTATAATAATAAATAAAGAATATGCATGAAAAACAAAAAATATAATACTTACATGTATCCTCATTTTTTGGCTATCGACTGTCGATGAAACTTAAGCCTACTTTTTTTATACCAATGGAACTACTACACTAAATAAATTTTATTTAATTAAACAATGCACCTAAGAACACGGAATAACAACACACGTAAACCAAACAATGTCCTATAACTATCACAATTTTTCTGGCTTTCTAACAATGTGATAAGAGCCTTTAAAAATTCAGTTAAACTTTGCAAGGTGAAAACTGTGAGAAAAAATTTCAAACTATAGGCAAAATAGACAATTCTCCATTCAAAAAACAACATAATATGATATGTCACTTCATAGATTAAAGCTTTGGCTTTCTATTGGTTATAAGTAATATAGTATAAAACATCAGAAAAAACTTGGCAATTTGTGAAAGAGATGATATGACAACTGGGTCTGATTTTCTAGTTTATTTCTTTGTAAACAAACAAGATTGAAGGCTATAAAAATTATTTTGTCTGAGTAATATCTATATTATAATGAGCAATTTATGTTAAATTCATTACTTTTTGGAGAGGGTGGTAAATAAATTAGAGAAGACAGAAGACCTTGAGAGCAAATGTCACAATTCTCATACTAGGGAAGATTGAGGATTTTTTAAACATTTCCTTATAAAATACTTAAAACTTATATAATATTAAAATTTGATTTATTAACTATGTTTTATGCCATGTTTCTTTGTATACAATGATTATGAAGTAGTTAAATTAAATTTGGAATAAAACTCTGTAAAATATCATGACATGTACACTCTTACCTACCCATTGTGAAAAGGTTAAGTCACAAAATCCAATTTTGTAAGTTCCATCATTTTTTATATACCGAACAATAACAAAATGATTTTTATTGAGCTTTTAAATTAAAATATATTTTTTGTGTGAAAAAATAAAAACTTCTGCTTTCATGATTCATAACAATCTTACAAAAAGAATACTCAAACTTGTTCAAAAAAACACAAAGTCACTCACTGAGCAATAGCATAAAAATCATCCATTGGCTCTTGGGGTGGTGGAATGTCATGAATTGTGCTCTCCTCTGTGCCAGTCTTCACTGGATCAGGTTTATCTTCTCCAAGTTGTCCAGATGACAGCTAAAAAACAACACACACAAAGTTATTCCAAAAAACTTAAGAAATATGAGAAAAAAAAATAAAAAGCTTACCTATATAACCACCCATACCAAGCATAAACAAGGTGTAGCCCTTCCTATACTTTTACTTGTCAACAATATTTTTAAAAAATTTAAAACAGCCCACACCTCATCTTCAAGATAACCATTCTCAAGTTTTTAATTATAGCAAAAAAAATAAATTGCCCAAAAAAAAAGTCTGCATTTGGACCTCCAAAGTTTAAACATATTATACTGATGTTCATATTTATATTTTCAATTCTATTGCTTAAATCAACCATCCAGAGACAAACTATCCAAGCCCTCAGGTCATCTCTCAATCTTCTATGCTACAAAAAGGAAAGCGTCAATCTAAAATTTCTCTTCATAGCATGAATTTATTAAACTCAAACTTTGTCAAAGTCTTCAACGATATATAACGCCATTCAACTCAATATCTCAAGCTAAGCAACATATCACTCTGAACTAGATTGTAGTTCAGTTCAAATGAAAGCTTTCTATGTTACACCAGTAATGCATTATATCCCAAAAGAAATGGTATCTAAGAACAAAAAAGCTAATGTTGTAGAAGTAATAAACATCACAACCTGATTACTTAAGCTTAGACAAGCCTAGAGAATCTATGGCTAATAACATCTTTCTTGATAAGCATGGATTTTAAAACTTACTTGTTGACGTAAAATTTCATTTTCTTCCTGAAGGGCAGTCAGTTTTACAACCTCATCTTCATAGCTCAGTAACGTTGGTAATGCTGTTTGTGAGATATAATTAACATTATAAATATCAAGAATTATATATCATATATTAAGAGTAAAAAAACACAAAAACCAACATTTTTTTTGGCACAATGAAAGGTAAAAACCATCAAATTTTGTGTTTTTTACTTTTAATACAGTAAAACAATGAGCCTGAAAAGAAATTATAAGTCAATCATAGTTATAAAACAGAGGAAATAACAAGAAAAGAAAACCTTACACAATCATAAATGTTTAGCTTACAAGACCTTTATAATACTACACATGATAGTAACAATGATGGTAGCAATATTATCAGTCCTTTTTGTTTCACAAGTGCTGTAGTACACAAAATGCACAAATAAACATGCAAATCAAATTCATGTGCTACTTGTCATAAGCATGAAAGGATATATTAACTTACAAATTGCATTATACTTTTATATATTCTTGATGAAAGCAGAAATGTGTTATCTACAAAATTGTGTGGAGCAGTTTAGTAATAGATCTTTAATATATTGTGATCATTCAAGACACAGAGGCAATAAAATCAAATTGAAAATGTTTCAAGGTTATGGTAAATTGGAGATCACTGGATACAGTTTTGATAAAACTGATAACTCTGCTAATATAATGCAGATATGCATAGCTTTTAAAAGTAAATATTTCCTTCATTTCCCTGCCATAATGCACCACTTTAAGCACCCATGCAATTCGCACACACAAGTTCACTTGCACATGTTGTTTTTCACAAAGAGATCTTAAATATCCAGATATCATGATGGATAACTGCAGTATAAATGCTGAAAGCTGGATAAATTGAGAGGAATGTGAAAACAAAATCTGCAGTTTACACAATTTTTTATCACAAATGTTATTTAAGCTTACTCTGATGGACAATTAGTTTATTATTATTATTATAGCAAATCAGATATTCAGAGCAAAATCCATCAGTTCTAAAATAATTAAGGACATTGATCTACCATATCAATTCTTTTAATTCTAAAATTTAAAATTCCAATTATCTTAGGTTCAAATCTGATAGGTCTTGCAAACAAAAGGGTTAGTTACTGTGTTGTTTTGTATTTATGCTAATAATGTTTTCCCACTTCTCTACCTTTAATACATTATTTTTCTTATTCACATGGAAGCAACATGTAATCATTAAGCCATAACAACAAAGACATATTAAATGAAACTTTTAATACTTCTTGCCCATCTTTTACTTAATAAATATCATAGTCCTGCAACAAAACCAATACGCTATCACTTTAAAGCAGAAGAGGCTGTTTCCCCTGTCTGTTTATAAAATCTCAAAGTCAATAACGAATTTGTATAAAGCACAGAAAGAGCATTTCATATCAACTTGAATTGTGACTCAATTGTGTCAATTAGAAAATATGTTATGGCATTGTTAGTTGCTAAGTGGATCCTAATAAAGCACATTTAAAATGAGGACGATTATATGTGGCCAGTGAAGCTTGAAGAGAGCTTAATAAGGTTCATGTTTTTTAGTCATATCATCATAATTTATTTGACTTTTTTTGATGAAACAAACTGCAAATTGATCCTTGAAAGATTAGCTTCATAATAAGTAATTACTCTTTTTCAGTTTCAAAAACTTCAGTAATATGATAGCTACCATGTTATTTACATCTGGAAATGACATAGATACATAACTGTATGTAGCTATTTGCAGCAGCCTCTTAGACATTTGAAACTCAGCATTCACAAACATTACATATTCAATAAAATAGTATTTTATAACCATTTGAAAACAGACAAAACATATTTGGATGAACGAAACTTAAACTTATAATGGGCATGCTTGATTATGTACTGGTGGATTTGTCATGATCCCCTCCTTAATATTAAGGAAAAGTATGCTATTTCAAGTTAAATAATTCTTTGATAACCACATGGTATGAAAAACAATTTGGCTGATATGAGATACTTGCCTTGATTAATGACAAATTTAAACAACAATAGTATCTGGTATAAAGGTTAACCAAAAAACTTGTTTTGATAAACAAGACTTTTATCTTTTTTCTCAGAACATAATAATAATTTTACATTAAAATCTAAGCTAAAAAAATGAATTTAAAGGTGATATAACAAATACTTTTACTTTAATTAATCAAATCTAAATGATGAATTTCGGTTTGTTTTAAAACATTACAAGAGACCATAGATGAGACTGTAAGAAAGATTTGTAGTGCCATTGCCTTATGCACATTAGTTACTACACAAGCCTAATAACTGGTAATGTTTTAAGTGTAAAAGTCATTTGTTTTCATCTATGGTGGTTAAGTGATATTATAGCACATCTTGGTTATTATAATAACCCCTAACTATTAAGCTTGGCAAATCAGTAAGGATTTAATATTGGGTTCCTATCTAAATAAAAGTTTATCTTTGAAAAATGGTTTATAAATTTTGTAGTTATCCATGGCATAACTACACCTAGAATAGCTCCGAATTTTTTTCAAGTACAAACTTTTAGTTTATAACTCTGTCATCTCTTGACCAATTTGAGATCTAATTACAGTTTTGGAATCAGGAGGTCAAACCCTTTCAATTGATGTGTTTGACCATGGCCAAGGTCTCATAGATTCATTTACTCTAATCCTGCCTAAAAGAATTTTAAGTGCCATCGCTATTGAGGTTCCCTCTTATATTTCTTTGGCGACTGATTTACAGTGACCAGCATTTAACAATAACCTTAATTCTCTGATCTTTCATTTGGATCTAAAAAGTTTTTTTTCAAGATAGCTTTAGCAGTGTGGTCAACATTTGAAAAAGGTGTCTTTGAGGACTGCTTTTGCCTTGCATTTGTTTGTGACAATATTTCAGGCTCCATGCTAAATCCTTCTTCAGCTCTGCAGAGCTATTTTCTCATTGTGGATTCTTATAGTATCGTGAAGAGTGGTCCTGGTGAAAAGTTCGTAGTTTCTGGTTTGTGATTGATATATTCGGTGGTATTTTAATAAAAGAGTCAATTCACTTGCATAAAATTATAAAGTAACCAGGTACCTTTATTTTTTAAGAAATTGTAAGAATTTAAAAAGTAAATTATAATATAACTACTCTATTAAATTAAAAGACAAACACTGTGTTTTGAAACTTTGTTAGAGAAATTCTTAAAAAATGGTGCAACAGTTAAAACAATCTGTGTCAATCTTGTTAAGAATTTTGCACTCATTCAGCATAGAAAATCAAAAAGTAAGGATAAGAATGTTATTGTAAAATATTTTGTATAGTGATTTTCTTGAATTTTTACCACAACAGATTAAAGTTAACATTTTCCTTAATTGAAAATGTATTTCTGATAGATACTCACTCCCACACATAGAAAGCTGTTTTCCTCTTCCTCCCTCTACATTTACAAAATACATCATTCTTTGATGAGGCTTCAAATAAAGGAGCAATAGGAAAGTGAGGAAGATGGATGGGAACATGTATGGAGGTGAATATCTATCAGAAATACATTTTTAATTGAGGAAAATGTTAACTTCTGATAGAATCACTCACCTCCATACACAGAAAATTAGAATCCCATTGAGATGGTGGAGAAACTGATGTAAATTTACCTAAATAAGCTCCCTTCAGCAAGCATCTAAAGGAAGTCCAGGAGTGTGACACAGTATGGTAGGGGCACACCTGAGAGAGACAACATCTCATCTCATTGAGGGAATATTCTTAACTCATGAGAAGGACTAGAAGGGGCAAAAGCCCTGCATGGTGTCACAAGGATGGGCAGAATAGGTACAAGACCATCCAAATACTCGCACACAAGACATCAGATGGCCAATAAGTGTAGTGAGGCTTGGGCTCATTCAGGCAGTGCTGTGGGTGCACACTTCCTCAACCATCAGTCTCTATGGGTCAAAACCAGCTGTGGGAGAAAAGGACTTCTGATAAATATCTATGCACAGCTCCTCTATCTTCAGACACGACGGGCCCCTCTCCAGTCGCAAGAGGAGGGCACTGTATAGACAATATGGTTTATTGGACACAATTAGTACGGATAGTTATGTAACCACAACTCAACCATCAGAAGTTATAATCTTCCTATACTGAAAATGTATTTCTAATAGGTACTTCCCTCTGCTCAAGATTAGCTATTCTTGTTTATTGCTGCCCTTGTCATGCATCAAATATCCACCAATTGGACAACAGTACACTCACGTGACACATGTCACTCCCTCTATGTGCCTCTACCAAACTATCACTTTGAAGTTTGACAGATGAGGGAAGCACCGAAAGAGAGTGAGGAGGAAGGGTGGGAAATGTGAGCAGAGGGAAGTACCTATTGAAAAAACATTTTCAGTATAGGAAAATTATATCTTCTGATACGGTATTTCCATCCACTCGCAAGATTAGCTAGAAGCCCACATTGATTAGGAGGAGGGACCAGTGTAAGGAAAGAATAAACATACCCCCCCAAAAGTGTCCAAAGGATACCCCTATAAATGAGAGAGTCAGATATGAAGATCTGGAGAGGGAAACCGTACCACTTCTGATCAAGGTATACTCTTCGACCAGTTGAGAAATGTGTAAAAATCAGGGTGGAAAATAAGAGGAGCACATCTTAGTGGAAGAGAAAGTGGTAGGAAAGTTATCCTAACTGGAGAAAGATATAGTAACTCAATCCCACAATAAAAATGTAGGTAAATGAGGATGCATCACTTGGTGTAGAGTGGCTAGGGTGCAATAGACCATACTCAGCAAGTCAACTACATCCAAAACCTCGTGAGGTACTGACATCTACGCAAGGGTAGGATGAGGATCATACCATCTTCACCCCAAACCCAAGAGCCAGTAAATTAAGAACTACTCCAATTCCTAGGTATTACATCCTGGGTGACATCCAGTATTGAAAATAAGTCTATCACAAGCAATCAACTCCATGAAACAAGTCGGGAACATCCAAAGAACAATAATATCCATTTAAGAAGAGAGAAGAAGGGAGAGCCAAGGATAGAATCAGAAGAGTCCCATGTATCTCAACTGTGACCCACAACACAGGAGGAGGAATCGAGGGAGGAAAGATAGATAACCTGAAACTTGTGTGAGGACTTATGTTGATTGGTTCACTCAAAAACCAAAACCAGCCCATGGGGTACCAACATCAACACGAGAGTAGGAAGAGGGCTCCCAATCAAAGGGGTGAACTGTATTTTGATGTCTCACTCTGTCATATGTTTAATCACAAATCAGAGGATATTACGTCATCTACACCAGCAGAACACCACTGCCCTACTTGAACTCAATGGTTATAGTCATCTTAAGTGGAACCCATCCAGTAGGGTGCCTCCATAGTCAACCACCGCAGCAGCTAGGAACTGGTAGCTGGTAAGGACTCCCACACTCCACTAGAAGAAAGGAGGGTGAGAATGCATTGGAGAGCCCGGATGAACATTGACACCCAAGACAGTGCAATGGGTGGTCATGAAACCCTATTTTGATAAGTTGATCATAATGATTTATCCAATCAAGGCATGGCAGAGATGGGTAGCTATCCCATTCTGCTTTACCCATGAAGACCATAGGTGGTATGGTCCGTGATGGGCCAATTGATGAAGCAAATATCGCAAGGTTATTCACCTACAAGCGATCTTGTGAAACATCCCATCACAAAGGTGAGCATGCGGAGACATGGAAAGAAAATGTTATTCAACATGGATAAAGAATACCTGGTCAGGCACCACTTGCCACAGAGTGGGATCCAAGTAATGAAAGTATGAATATTGGGCCCTTGAAGGAAAATAAATGAATAATAAAGACTTACCCAATGTCAGAGTTGCACCGAAGATTGGAGTATAGCTACAGGTGGAAGGCAAAAACCCAAGGATAAAGGTGTTAGGGTTGATCTAAGTGCCCGATTGTAGGATTTCCTCCAGAGGTCAATGAAGACGAGAAGCAAGGGAAAAGGTGAGGTGTCAGATTTGATGAGAGGTAACACAGTACAAGTAAGCTGGGAAAGGGACAAGGAGGAATAAACCAACTGGATCAAACAACGAACCCAATTGGTGAGTGTAAAAGAGGAAAGATCCCTGGATGAAGAGGGCTGCCAAGGGATAAAGAGACAGGAACAGGAACCACAGAAGGAAGCCGTGGGGGCAATATAACAATGAAGAGCATACACAGGACATAGAAATCTATCCAGATTGGGACAGGGGAAGAGGTGAGAAATAGAGGGTAGGGAAACAGGTGAAAAGGAGGAATTACCCTCATGAGCCACTGAGGTCTTGGGGAGGAAGGAACGATCCAGATAAAGGAGAAGACAGATATGGTGGTAAAGTGTGTGTGTGTAACAGCGATGGCAAACAATTCAGACTATCAACACCCACAGGCCAGAAGGAGAAGGAAATATGCCTTAAAAAACAGGTGAAGCAAAGAGAACGAGGATATAGATTCGAACAGAGGTAAAGTGAGGGAATGGAAGACTACATTAATATCCCAATCCAGGTCACCAAAGAGGTCAATGAATCCGGGAGGAATTGATTAACATGGTAAGGATGGGTAAGAGAAAATTCCTGCGGTAACGGGAAAGGCAAAAGGTACAGGACAAAGATGCCCGATAACCTAAAATCGAAGAGGCTGAAGGCCCTCA